GAAAATTTCTGGAACCGAAAAAAAGGGAACCGAACCGACCCGCGCCCACCCCTACCTCGGAGGGGTATTTGTGTTGGTCCTCTGAGTGGAGAGTTTCGGCTCCTTTCTTTGTTTCTGTAGGCAGTGTTTCAGCCCAAGTTGTAGTGCCTCGTCCGTTGAGGTAGTGCTTCGATACGAGATTTGATAGTTTGCATAATTTCTTTATATTTGACCGTTTGGATCTTTATTGCCCCACGTGAATTGCTATGTGGCGCTTTGACTTTAAGCCTCGTCACAATATATATATATATATGCATAAACGACACTGATGAACTTATAGAAACTAAAAAACCAAGTACAAAAACTAATTGTCTTAATGAGTTATATTCTTTACTGAGTTTATTTTATGCTACTAAACTGTGTCACCTTGAATGAGGAGCCAGTAGCTTATCTGAAATAGTGGTGGTAACAGATTCACAGGTTAAATGAGATACTTGCATAATTAGTTGGTGTCCGTTTTAGATAAAGGTTGCAAAAATTGCATCTTGGGATATTCCTCAGAAAATCTTACATCGTTGTTTCTATTATCCATTTAATAACATGATGTCAGCATATCTTGATCAATCCCGCTTAAACTGATTTTTTTCGTTCTTGATTTTTTTGTGCTATTGTAAACACAACTAAATCCTAAAAACCAAGAAAGAAAATAATTGGAAACTAGAGAAGAGAACAAGTAAAGAGTCGGGTCTGCTCTAGCATTTTACAAGTGAAGTGTGATTACCCCCAAATGAACGTGAACAGTCAATAACTGGAGACTTGCAACATGTCTTTGCTAATCTTTTTTTAAAAAAAATATTTTTCTAGTTGTTTCTAATATCTTTTTTCTTTCTCCAATTCTCCAGGTTTCCTTTTTGAAAGTAAGCAACATAAATTCTTAAGTATTTGTTCGTTGTTTCATTTGTTTTAGATCTAGGCCCGTTTGATTGCAACGAATTATATGGAAAATGTCATATCCGAGGAAAACGAATTCTACTTTGGCCGTTTGACTGTAACGTGGAAATGGAAATCGAATTCTAAGGTACAACCACTTCAAGCTGCATTTTCTTTGTTATTATGGAAAACGAATTCCTATAGATTTGATGTGTTTTTATTTTCCAACTAACATGGAATTGAAATTACTTTCCACATTTACCTATCAAACGAACCTTATTATAGACGTAAAAAACTTTGATACCCAATTTAACCTTTTAAACATATTTATTGCGTATGACTCTTATAGTTTAATGTTTTTATACTTTAGTGTCCGTTTGATTGTAAGGGTGGAAAGAAAATGTTTTACAGAGAATTGATTTTCCTAGAAAATGTT